CCGGCGGGGGGTTTCCCCCCCCCCCCCCCCCCCTTTTTTTTTTTTTTTTTTTTTTTTTTTTTTTTTTTTAGATCCAGCGAGAGGAACTTGAAAGGGGGGTTGTGTCATGTACCTTTTTCCAATCCCGGGCTGTATATGGAGATTTGGGATTCTTTAAACCGGCGCTACCTGGATTTTATTAAAAAGCGGGGAGCTGGGTGGGAGGAAAGCTGGCTTTTCCGGGGGCTGCGGGAGCCTGGCCTCGGGAGGGCGGAGGAGTTGGCGCGCTGTGCGCCAGGCCCGGGGAGCGGTTTTCTACCAAAAAAAGGAAAGGCGGGTAAAAAGTGTGAGGTTGCTGCGGGTGGCGGAGGGGATGGCGGGCAGTCCGGGCGCCTAGCCATCCCTGTCGAGTCCCTGTCGCCGGAGCCTGGAGCCCGGAGCCCCGCTGTGCCAGGTACGCAGCCGGCACCCTGATGCTGCCCAAACTTGTGCCGCGCACCCCTTGCCACCCCACTCCGCCTGCCCCCCGGGGGGACGTGGAGGGAGGCCCCCCGAAACCATCGGGGTCCCTCAGGAGAAAATCCGAGGTCAGGGATTGCGGGGAGAGGGTATCCTAGGAATGGACAGGACACAGCTCTGCGCCCCGCGCGCCCACCGGAACCCCCAGCCTGTTCCAGCCTGCAGTGCACGTCCCGGGGCGTCGGTTCCAGCCTGCAGTGCACGTCCCGGGGCGTCGGTTCCCTACTCCGTTCCCCGCCTGCGGTGGGCTAGCCTCTGGCTACGCCGAGACCATTTCGATTCTTGGGATTCTTGGCTGTTTTTAATTAAATGCCGGAATTCAGCCATTTTAACTGCATTTAAGAGAAGAAAAGTAGCGGGGAATGCAGTAGAGCCCCGCAGATGGCCACGCCAGCTTTCCTGCGGTGGCCCATGCTGCTCTATAGGGCTTCACTCCGACTTCCTTAAAGTGGGGTTGCCTGGGCACTGCCTTTCTTTTTATTAAAAGCTGTCTTAGAAGAATATTATCTTTAAAGTCATTGGGGGAATTCCTCGCCTCTTGGAGACAATGTATCCTGGGCTGTGGCGATCTTAGATTTTTTTCCAAAGTAAATGCGGATCTGGTAACCAGAGCCTGATGCGAGAGAGAGAGAGAGAGAGAGAGAGAGAGAGAGAGAGAGAGAGGTTTGAAACCAAAGCCACGTTAAATAGACATCCTTAGCAAAGTTGGGGCTAGGGAGACTTGGGGGTCTACAGCTCCGGGTCTCGGCGCAGGGCGGCCACCCCGGAGCTCGGTGGCTTCGGTTTGATCCCCGGCTGCAAATGCCCCGGGCCTCTCAGAGTCAGGCCCTGGGCGGGTGGATGGCCAGCGAGGAGGGGGGGGTGTTGTTCCAGCCGACCTCCTGCCCCCCACGGGAATGGGGCAAACGACAGATCTTTTAAACAAACAGCTTAAACTGGAACTACAGGGGATTTACCCAGTGCTGGGGGAGGCGCCCCTTTGCTGGCCCGCGCCGTTAAGGTTTTCTTTGTAGGTTATTTTGGGGGTGTGTGGGTCGCAAAGCTAGGGTAGAAGCGAGATCCTTGGAACCCCCTTTTTTCTTCGGTTGAGGGTTCCCAAATTCTCCGCAACAGGCCAAGTCCTCCGGCCTCGGGGTTCCCAGGCCCGGGAATTGGAAAATGAAACCAAATCTTGTTTTGAAGGATTCTTTTTTCCCAGTCCTCAGGCGAGAATGCCACGTCTCGGGGACGGGGACTCGGATTCTGCGACTCCCAGAGGCCCATCGGGGACTGCGGGAGGGGGTAGCGATCCTCCTTTAAAAACATCAATAAATCCGCTTTGTATCCCTACCTCGGTAAACAACCACAAAAAGCCCTCAAACGAACCACTCCATCCCCCCCGCCCCGGCTCTCAGGGCGATCCAAAACTCAGAAAAAAAGGGAGCCAAGGGCCCCCCAAAATGGTTAAATATTAAACTTTGTGAATCAGATAGTGGTATGGCGTTAGGGCTACATTTTGAACAACTCAAAAGGTTTCACAGTTTTAAACCCCGGAGCATGTGACGCCTGGGAAATAAAACACTCTTAGGTTTGTATTTAGCTGATCGGGCGCGGTCGGCCGAGTTTCTGGACGACTTACAGGCAGAGTCCGGGTTGGGACGCACCGCGCACCGGCCACTTTCCCAAGCCGGGGTCCCTGGAAAGCCTGAAGGCACGGGAAAAAACATGGATTTTTATATTTCACTGAAAAAGGGGGATACTCCCGATTTTATTTCTGGTCACCAGCTCGGCGATCCTTGACCCCGAAAGGCGAGGCGACTTTCTCAAACTTGTTTCTTTTTTCTTTTTGTTTCCTTTTCCCCTAATTCTGGGTCTTCCACGGCTGAACTTCTTGCCCGCCAAGACGCCGTGTGTCCCGGTTCCTGCATCTCTACCAGGCCGCCTGGAGGGGACTCACCTACCGCAGCTCGTGCGCCCAGGGTCGCGGGCCCATCGCTGAGCTCAAACCCCGCTGGCCACCGCCATGCACGCCGCGGAGCGCCCACCACCCAAGGTCACTAGGACTACATCGAGGCTGAACTTTTAAGTCCCACTGAAGGAGGCCGGCGGGCCGGGTGGGGAGGCTGACCGCGGCACGTCCGCGGAGGATGGATGGCCGAGACTTCGGGCCCCAGCGGTCCGTGCACGGCCCCCCGCCGCCGCTGCTGTCCGGCCTGGCCATGGACAGTCACCGTGTGGGCGCGGCCACTGCCGGACGTCTGTCCGCCTCGGGCTTACCGGGTCCGCTGCCGCCGGGGAAATACATGGCAGGTCTCAACCTCCACCCTCACCCGGGTAAGTATTGTGCACTGCGCTTGCACCCTCCTGCTTTGAGGGGATGGGGGATCCTGGGGAGGGAGACTCGGGGAGACTTCCGTGGCAGGAGCCGGGCTGCTGTGCCCTCTTCCAGCACGGTGCGCTGGAGGCTCAGCTCCCAGGACGAACACCCTGGTTCTTGTATCAGAGTCCCTTCTCGGAAGAGGGACTCTGAGCTGTCGTCCTGTCGCTTCAGATTGTCCCAACCCTCCGGAGACCCTAGCATCTGCACAATCAGAGCCACCCGGGGGTAATCCCACTCCGAGGGCCCAAAGCAGGAGGCCGGAGTTTGGGAAAAAAAAAAAAAAAAAAAATCTAGGCTAGAAAAGAGCATTATCACTCACCCCCTCGACCCTGTGAGACACGCTCCCCTAGGTCGGATCTTGGCTACCTCCGGTCCCTACGCCCGTGGGCCCAAGGTTCTTGTCCCCGCGTGGAACCGTGTTCCGGGTGTACTCAAGCCCGGGTATGTACGGAGGTTGGGGGGGCATGCAGGAGAATATGACCCCGGTTCTAGGAGCCTGGGAGTCCATGAACCTTCGGGATCTTCCTTTTTCCCCAAATGGTCATCTTAGCCCTGGGGACCCTGGTTATCTGGCAAATTTAGGACGCGTGGCGCCGCCGGGGTGGGTGCAACTGGCTACTCCGTAGCCACCTTTCAGGCGGCTGAGCCTGCAGGGGACACAGAGGTGGCGCTTCGGAGGTCACTGAGTAGGCCCGGGTGGCCTCCGCCATTTCCCGAGAGAGCTGGCCCAGAGCTGCCCCGGGAGGGAACAGATGGCCAAGCAGGGTCCGGCCATGCCGCGGCCACTGGCCTCCGAGAGCGGGAAGCCGGGAGACCAGCTGACCGGCCCGGCGGCCGCTCCTTGAACCTCGTCCCTCCTCCCCAGCCGCTCTACGCTCCTGCGCCTGGTTATAGGGGAAAAAAACAACATAACAAAACTCCAACGCTTCTTTAAAAAGGGGACTTTGTCGATTTCCCGGGGAGGAGCCCCAGATGGTCCCCTGTCCTTGGAACTAATGTTGGAAGGAGGCACCCCGGAGCCCCAGAGCCACCACTTCAGCTTTTCCTCTCGCTCGCCAGGGAGATCACGGCTGGCCTAATTCGTCTTTGCTTTTGATCCCCCCCCCACCCCCCCACCCCGCCTCTGGAACTTTTCAAGAACTGGGAGTCCAGGGCTCAGCGGGACAAAGGGCCTTTGTGAAGCGCCTGGCGGGGGAGGGGCGAGCGGAGATCCCCGCCGGCGGGGGCGCGGGGATCTGGGTCGCCTCCCCCCTTGTGTGTTGTGCCCCGTGGGAGATGGAGGCGCGTTCCGCAGGGGTGGGGGAAAGAATGTTGATGAGGCCAGGGATTCCTCCCAGAGTGGAGCACTGAGACGGAGGTGGGCCATCAGAGACACTAGCAAGGCAGGATTTAGGGTCAGCCTTGGGATACATTTGGTCCACATCCCTCACCCCACTGGTGATGTGCGTGTGTGAGTGTGTGTGTGTGTATATGTGTGTGTGTGCATTCGCGTATTTTGGGGGCCCTGAATTGGTTGGTCTGGCTGAGGTGGTGGCTAGTGAAGGTCTGGGAATCCATCTCGGGTGTTCCTGGCTGGCTGAGTCTTAGCTTGTCGCAAGCTCCGGGTCTGCCTGGGCCTGGCCGAGGCAGACTAACTGCACAGACAACCACTGCATGGATTGGCACCTCCAAATGCATAACCCGCCCTACCTTGCGTGGTTACTCCACCGCCCATGCCTAACCCCCCATTTGGTGTACGGGTGGTAGAGGCGCAGACTAGAAAATCCTACTTGAACCGACCCGGGAATCCTGTGCGGTGGCCCTCGGTGGCTGGAAGGCGTGGAGGAAATGGCGGGAAAGCCTCCAGCAGTCGCCTCGAGGAGGCCTTGTAACTGCAGAGGAAAGAGTGGGGGCCTGGGGCTGTACTGCTGTCGGCACTAACCCCTATCTGTCCCCACCTGCAGATGGGCCAGGGAGACTGGACCCCAAGTCAGCGCCCAGAGCTGAGACTGAACTTAATCCCATTAGGCACCAGGTGGGACTGTACCCCATTTTCCATTTAGAGCAACGCAGGATTAAAAATAAATTCCTAAGGCTTTCTTCCCGAACTGCTTGTGGGATGAAGGTGCTCGATTCCCTTTACACCCTGAACCTCTCTGTGTCCTTTCTCTGGCTGTCAGCTCTTTAGGTTTTGGCCAGAGTTATCAGTTCTATCTTATTTGTTTATTTTTGTATAAAAATTCAGAAAACGCAATTCACTGGGTTCACACAGCCCGGGAGCAAGAGGGTGTTTGTTACCTGCAAGTGCTGGTACCTGGGGCCTCCCAGCTTCTAGAATTGTCTACCAGACATGGGGAGCTGCCTGAGTAATCCTGGGGGTGTCTGCTGTGAGGGTCCCCTGGAGCCAAAGCTTTCTGTTCTGATGGGTTTGGCTAAGGGCTCTAGTCCTTTTCTCCTTAAAAGAGGGAAATAAAAAATAAATGGTGGCTCACATCTCCAATCTCAGAGCTCAGAGAGAGAGAGCTCAGAGAAAGAGATCCAGAGTTGAGGGCCAGCCTGGACTACTATACTAACTACTGCTTAAAACAAACAAACAAACAAACAAACAAACAAACAAACAAACAAACACAAAAAACAGGGCTGGAAAGATGGCTCAGGGGTTAAGAGCACTGTCTACTCTTACAAAGGACCTGGGTTGGATTCCCAGCACCCACATGGTGACTGACAACTGTCAGTAACTCCAGTCCCAGAGGATCCAATGCCCTCTTCAGGCACTGCGTGACAGGGGTACAGTTCACTTACATACATGTGGACAATACACTCATACACATAAAATAAAAATAATAATAAAAATATTAAAAACAAAACAAAGAACCCAGTTTGCATCAAAACTGCCGGGCGTGGTGGCAGACGGCTGCCTTTAATCCCAGCACTTGGGAGGCAGAGGCAGGCGGATCTCTGTGAGTTCAAGGCCAGCCTGGTCTACATAGTGAGTTCCAGGACAGCTGGGGCTACAAGGAGACCCTGTCTCAAAAAGACCAACCGCCCCCCAAACTAGCATTGTATCTTTTTTCCTTTTCCAATAATGTATTGCTAGAATTTGAGCAGAAATATTCACAGCCTGTCAGTAAAATGGACAAGCTGGCTGGTGTCTCTAGATGCTGGAGCTGGAATTGGGAGCCCTGGAAAGGATTTACATCTTGCAATTAAAGATCTATCAGCAAGATTTTGTACTTGGATATATAGTCTATGTACCTGCACACCCTGGGCTGAATGAGGGGAGGGACCCAGGGATCAGGAGAGCTGAGGCCCTGCACTTTGACCTAGCTGATGGACAAAAGGTAGCCAGGCTTGCACTCCATCTTCGGAATCTAGCCTGTCAGCCTGCTGGGATTGATTTAGAAAGATTAATCAGTGAGGACTAGCTGTGGACACATGGGGTTGAGATGATAAGGGAGATTTTTTTTTTTTTCCCCTTGAGACCTTCCTTTGGTCAGAAGGCAGCAAGGAAAGGCATGAGGAAGGTTCTGGAAACTGGAAGAGTTCATTGTATTCTCTGCCTCTAGCAGCTGCAGCTGTCACCTTTTTCTTTTTAATCATTACATTTTAAATTTATTTGTATATGTGTATGTGTGTGTGCACAGGAGCCTACAGAGATCAGAGGACAGCTTGTGGGAGTCTGTTCTCTCTTTCCACCATGAGAGTCCGGGGAATTGAACTCAGTTTGTCAGGCGTAGCCACAAGCCACTTTATCCTCTGAGTCATCTTGCTGGCTTGCCCTGTGATGGTTCTTTTACTTCTTCCTTCCTTCCTTCCTTCCCTCCTTCCCTCCTTCCTTCTTTCCTTCCTTCCTTCCTTCCTTCCTTCCTTCCTTCCTTCCTTCCCCCCCCACTTCCTTACTCGTTCATTCGCTTAGCAAATAATTTTCAAGTGCTTCCATCATGCCAGACACTGCACTCCCGACCTGGAACTGCTGTAGTAAACCAAACCTACAAGGGGGCTGCCCACGTCCTAGTGTGAGAGCTAGGCAAAAAACACACACATCAGGGGAGGAAATCAGTGTAGGTGGGGACACAGGCCATGTAGGAAATAAAGGTCTTTGGTCTCATCTAGTCCTTGGGGTGAGGGGCCAGGTCAGAGGGCTTGACCTCAGCCATCCCTAGAGTGAGTCTTTTTGTGTGTGTGGAGAGCAAATATGTTGACAGAATGCAGACGAGAGCTCCATGAGGTATTGGGGTCTGAGAACCCTGGGATCAGTCAGCCCCGTGGGAGACAGGCTATCTCTGAAGACCAGCAATGAAGCCTTGGAATTTTAAACAGCCATTTTACAAAGCTGGCTGGGTCTCTTGTGTGCAAGGCAGAGGTAGGCAGAGAATCGCTGCTGATGAAGAGACAACAGAGGAAAAAAAAAACCAGTAAGTAGTAGCTACAGGCAGTGTTCAACCTGAGATTGGATCTTGGTTTGGGGAAACAAACTGCTCCAAAGATCAAGGATGAAATTGGAATATGGACTGTAGATTAGCCGATAACTTGGAATCGATACTGTATTCCGGGAGGCTGCTAACTGCCTGGGTTGTATAAGATAACTGTTCTTTGGTTCTTTGGGAATGAGTAAGAGTACTGAAATATTTAGGGGCAAGCAACGCTGTGTCTAACACTGACTTGCAAATGTCTGGGGAAAGGGGGGGATATTTTTTATTTAGGTGGATGGATATGTTTGTGGGAGACAGGGATACAGTGAAGTCACATCAGATAACAGTGATGGGAAAGAGGTGTGAGTTAAAGGGGAGGGTTGGCAGGATGGCTCAGTGGGTAAACATGTTTGCTGCTAAGTCTGAGAACCTGAGTTCAAACCCTAGAACCCACATGGTAGAAGGAGAGAGCCAACTCCTGCAAGTTGTCCTCTGACCTCCAAATACACACACACACACACACACACACACACACACACACACAGACACACAACTAAATGTTT